GTTCCCCAGCACTACCATATTTTCTGAGAATTAGTGGGTTTGGGACGGGGTCCATTCAGTCTTGTGAGGATAATTGAGGAGCAGTTTCAAGGAAATAGCGGCTCCGGTCTAGAAAACCGAAATTAACGGCCGTAGTAATCCGTTTCGCTGACCACGCGACAACCTCTATCCTCAAAATATTAGCACTAACTTCACAGACAAGCGGCGTTCGCTCGGTCGGTATAATTCGGTTGTGGACTAAGACCAGAGAGTTTTGTTTAGTTTTAAATGTACGAACAGTGTATCATATGACCTCTCTCCATAACAAATTGTGCATGTGTCTTTCCAGTGGTTCATGAGTTAGTGTTGATATTTTTTATTCTGCAAACAGATTTCATGAACAAATGTATGTTATTTCGAAGAACTGTCTACATGTTATATCAGGACCTTGAATTAAGTTGCGTTAATGTTGCTTTCATCTTACAATATCGCGAGTCCTCCATGTTGTTAGTACTGATTATCGGAAAATAAAATTTTCGATCAAGGTGCGTCCCCAGTTGCAAAAGCGTTCGTACCAATCAAAATTACTGGGTTTTGGACTCAAGTCTTTCCTACTAAGTTCAATGAAAATCGGTTAAACCTTCAAAATCTGGGGACTGGGATATACGGAGGTACAGTAGAAAAAGAATTTCTTGATGCAAATAATTGTTTCTGGGAATGATTTTTTTTAATCAATATGAAAGAATATAAATTTGTTGTAGATCCGTTTCTTGTCTTTTGTTTAAAGTGACAAATTCCGGTGTTAATTCAATATATTAAATTTAAAATTCAGTTTCAGCAATAAGTGTAAGTACTGAAAATGAGAAAGAAAGAAGGAGAGAGCTGGAGTAATGGAAAGAAGGGAAGGGGAAAGATTCCTAGTGTAGTCCCTCGGAACACAAAGATGAACTGAAAAAGGAATGAAAGTACAGGTGTCAAGAACTTCCAGCTAAAACTAATTCTCCATTAAAACTATGCAAATTTAAATCCATATGTTAGTATCCAGTTATCGTCGTTAAAACACAGCCCTCTACAAAATTAACATACAGAGTTGCTCGACTATGAAAGATGAACAGAAACAAAATAATGACACAACTAAATGTCACATTAAGTTTAATATCGACTTTATTTTTAATGTTAAATTAAAGCTAATAATTCAGTTCAATTCTTTATTATTAATATGCCGAGTCAACAGCCGCAAGGCCAATTACAGACACANTGGTCTTCTTTTTAGTTATCGATCTTTTGTTTATGTGGGTCTCTTTATCAACATACATATATTGAAAATTTATCAGTAGCCTGGTCCCTTTTCGCTGTATAATCGATTTCCATAAGAATGCATTACCGTGACACAAGTATGAAACAAAGGTGTCCGTATTTATGCCCTCCAAAGGAATACTCAATTGCAGCTGTCCCACAAACTTCAGCTTAGCTCCGGCCTCCGGGAGTGTCCTGCAGGCTGCATCCTGCAGTTCTGGTCTCAAGTAGCGTAGGTGCAAGGGCACTCTGGCTAGTCAGTAGTCTTAGGGGATTTTGGCTTCCTTAGCGGCAGGGATGGGAGAAATCTTCGGGAGTGGGTACGCTAAACTATTAAATAAACACAGAGCGAATTCCAGGAAGATCTCTCTTATATTCAAAGCACTCTCATTGAATCCCGTTCATTACAATTCTGTAAGATTACAACTTCACACTTTAAAATTGCTGCTCACATACAAATTAAAGACCTCCTTACTTCAGCGCCCTATTTCCTCATTACTTATCTCCATAGTTACCATCAGTTACACACATAAGTCCTAAAATCCACAGCTACAACCAACGTCTTAACAACTCCCCAGAAACTTCACAACACTGAAACTCTCTAGACAGTTACTCCCACGTCACTCCCCAACACACACACACACAAACACAAATATAGTACGTAGCCAAACGCTATACCAACTACACTATTCCTTATCTAATTTGTAATTATCACTGTTATTTCTGCTGATGTCTCATTATCAGTGACGTATGGAAGTCATAAATTACGATGATTATTATTGGTATTATCATTAAAATACTAACCGTATTCGTTGTGATTTTATCTATTTGACTTCTTAATGGTAATTTAATTTGTGTTAATGGAATTATTATTATCATTATTATTATTATTATTTACATAATACAATTTGTATTGTCTTTTTATTTGTTTCTTTGCATTTTCTTTCCTTTTATTTGCTCGTGTTCGCTTTTTAATTGGCCTTTGGGCTCTTAGGCTTGCATGTAAATAAATAAGAATACTGCACAGCAGTAATGGTGGTTTTAATAGTAGTAGCAGTAATATTGATGGTGGTGGTGGTAGTAGTAGTAGTAGTAGTAGTAGTAGTAGTAGTAGTAGTAGTAGTTGTTGTTGTGGTGCTGGCGGTTGTGGTGATATTAGTAATGATTTTTGTAGTAGTTGGTAGTGACAGTAATAGTAGTGATGGTGGTAGTAGTTATGGTATTAGTAGTAGTAGTTTCATCATTCTGCATATAGCTTAGACTTCGGCTTCTTGCCGGGAAGTTCTATGTTCGCTTCCAGTACGGGTATATTCCATGCGGGTTCCGTGGTGGAAAATGTTTCACTGGGGAAGATTTCTTTTTTCTCCTCCCTGACGACATTTATCCCAATAGGAATGATCGTCGCATCCGAGGACCTACCACTGTTGGTTCTTCTTCTGTAGGTCCCGTTTCCGAATCTCTGCCCGGATACTGAGTATTCTGAACGAAACTTCTCACGTTTTCTCTGTTCCTCCAGACAAATTCCCGGAATAATACCACGTACTAGACCACCGTCATTTCCTCCCGCATACGTGTAACTTCCATTTTATTATTTATGATTCATTCTACCATTCAACGCTATAGATCATACCGTAAGCTACTCACAACGTCCTAAATAATCCATAGATAATTAAAGAAAACAGCATAGGCTATATAACGTCAAAGGAGACTGAAAGATGATCTTCGATGAGAAATAAGTAATTCGAGACTTAAGAGATCTTGTATTGCATTTGAAGGTACCATCGCGTCATTCGCATGGAAAAACTATAAATATTAAAAGTCCGTAGACGGTATCCCGGCCGAAATTCATACTTCCGGAGAAGTCTACCCCATTTCCTGTACACAAGAGAGCTCCGTCCTCTCTTATATGGACTTCCTTTCATCTCAAATTTCTTTATATTGCGAAAGAATAGACTCAAGTTCTTCGTTTATTTTAGAGCTTCTTCCCAGAGGATTCGTATATACTGTAGACGTATGTGAGAACCGAAGTTATCATATTATTGACACTGAACATTAATATCGGCTGGGATATGACGCCGTATAGTCTGGTATAAATTTATGGACATCTCTTTCGGCTCCCTTGCCCCTCTCTCTGTATCAGTATCACTTGTACACGGTTTGATTATTCTTCTTCTTTGAAGACTTAGAAAATAAGTTCCTTCGAAACGTCCGTGAAATTATAAGCTTCGTAAATTCTCAGACGAAAATAATCTTCCACTTACACTTTTCTTCCCTTGGCACTACAGCCCCAGTGGGCCTAGGCCTACCTCCATGAACTTCTCCGTTCACTTCGGTGTTTCTAGATCTTACCCATTCGGTAGGACTCCTTGGGCGGGTGATCAGCTCGTCGCAAAGCCTCTACCTGTACACAAACAGAAAAACGCACACAAACACACTAACACCCATGCCCTGAGTGGGATTCCAACACACGATCCCGGTTTCCAAGCGAGCGAAGACAGTACATGCCTTAGACCGCTCGGCTACCGTGACCGGCTCGGCTTGAACATAGGCTATTTTAATTAAGGTAAACATATTCATCAAGTAAGCATCTATTTCCATCCCAGGCATTTCGTGTTAATGTTGTGTTGACTCGCGTACTTCACGTGCCCTCTTGTAGTGATTTGAACTGATACGAAATGCGAAGCGGAATAGAATTCTTCTTTGCATGTAACAAGATGTCAGTTTGCTTATGAGATACGTACTTAAAGTAATGTACGTCTTATTTGGTGTTTTCCTGCATTTCATCTCCGCTTCGGAGATCTCTCTCTTTTCTATCTTCAACCTTTCACTCGTTGCTGGGCGTGAGTCTGCAGTACGCCTTACGTACACCACTCAATTAAAGTCCATTGCCTACTGAGTAATAAAACAAGCCGATTACTTATTTCTCGTGCAGAATATCCAGTATCTTCTACAAATAAATCACTCTATATTACAGTCATGCAACCCCTCAATGTCTCTTCTCAAGTTCTTACGTCGTCAGATCATACATTTACATTCAGTTCTCACATTAGCATGTTGTTCCGTGAGGAGTTCTGAATTATTGTCAAATTTAGGCATTAGAATAACTGTTCATAGTATTATACTGCAGAATCCTGTTGCACTATGTACGATGTGATCTAACTTCGTGTTCCCATTCCTCTCCGTCTTCGTGTAACTTCGTCGATATATTAACGTTACCTTTCAACTTCTTATCTTCTCGTTATACCTTACCGCCATCTTTGAGCCGATTGTGTAGTTAACGTGGGATCCTCAACGTCTCACAGCCCTATGGGCCTTCATGGTCTGGTACAGGGATAGCTTTACTTACTTACCTTCTTGTTATACAGCACTACATGTTTCGGCCTAGCTGGCCATCATCAAGTGTGCAATGAAACTGCCGCTCTGTTATCACGCCGTTCTGTTTTTCATTTTGATGTAAAATGCTTCTAAAAAAAATTTATTTTAGGTTTTCTTTAGTTTACCATGCCGTTATTTCTTTATTTGTATTCACGTATCTGATGTTTGTTTTGTTCGTGTTTTGGATTTATCCTCTTCTGCTCTGTGTAGCTAATTTTCATTCATATTGATTCTGTCTAAGTCATTCGACACCAAACAATCCCCTTACATCCTGCAGTTGATGCAGAATTGCTAAATTACCCATAAAAATAATGAACAGTCTGTGATTATTTTTGTTTGCGTTTTTACAGGTGGCATGGCTCCGAGTTGATACACAAACAATTCTCACTATCGCAACACATGTGATCACCAAAAATCATCGCATTGGTGTGACACACAGTGATCACAGAACGTGGTATCTTCAGATCCGAGATGTGAGGGAGTCTGACCGAGGGTGGTACATGTGCCAGATCAACACGGATCCCATGAAGAGTCAAGTGGGCTACTTGGAGGTGGTAGGTGAGTGTTTCTGTGACCTTACATTTTAGCATCATGTTGTGTATCGTACATGTAACTCTCATAATACCATCAACAGAAATGTGTAGAATTAGTATTATTTTTACTCTTACCACTGCCACATTTCTGCATCGTCTTCAAGCAGTATACACACTTAAGCATCACTCATACGAATCGTCATGTCATACATTGCAGTCAAACAGAACATGGGTCCCTTGTTCATATGTATTAATCAATTGGATATCATGTGGTGAAATAGTGAAATATAGAAGCATAAATATTAAAATATGCGACCAGTAGAGTTAATTTAAATGTAATATACTTTCACGTAGTGTTGCGTGACTATAGAAGGGGTTTTGGAGTGCATATTGAATTTATTGACCACTTTAACACACCACTCTTAATTACGTTTAATTATAACGTCGCCGCTAATCACCACAGCACAAGCTAAGTCTTTTCTAGCTAGCTGTAACTTCACTAGCTGTTCACTGGTAACGGCATCTAACAGTGAAGATTCTTCAGCTTCCAACCTCAAGTCCTCTCTGGATGGCAGTTCCCTTCCAGTTCTCTTCCAATTGTCCTCTTTCTTCACAAACTCCCGTACAAAATTGACTTGATTGCCCCAGTTGTCTTCCTTATAAATCATCAGCACGGACCACTAGAAAACGCCGTTTACAACAGTACCTCTATTGCTGCATGCGTGTTCGTTACGCGGGAACGTGTTTACAGAACCGTTGCCTTTAAAGTGCTCTGATGTATTTGCATTGTAATGGCTTTGTATGCTACAATACTGTAATTGTGAGTATCTGGGTAAGATTTGTATGAGCATATATGTAGCGTGTTTCTAAAAACACTGTTATTACTAGACACCTGTTTTGAAAGTATTATAAGAATTGCGTGTGCCTCTGTGTGCTCAGAACTCTGACGGCTGTAAGAAGATGGCAAGTTGCTAAACAGCAACAACGTACGAAGATTCAGACAGAGTCTACTGAAATCGAATGCAGAATGGTAGAATCCCTCCACTATTTCCTTGTATACCCGTGATTTTACGTCTGTTTTGCAGTTTCTGTGCAATAAAGCACCAACTCTGTCGAGCAGCATGGTATAGCGGTAGTGCTCTAGACTTATATCCGGGAAATGGACGGTGCGAATTTCGAACTGAACAACGGTTATTCTAATCGAGGTTTTCCATGGATTTCCACAGTTCCTCCAAGCCTGTGTACTACCTCGACTAGACCATAAAACTTTCCTTCCAAATTCCTTGCATTTCATTATTCACTACAATCGTACTATTCAAGAGTATAAAATATGATATGCGGACATCGCAAAATTAAAAATAAGATAAACCTATCCATGTAACACGCCGCAGAGTCCCATAGGTTTGTGAGACGTCGAGGCTGTCTCACTTTCTAGACATTCAGGTCACAGATGGACATCGCAAAATCAAAATAATAATAATAATAATAATAATAATAATAATAATAATAATAAAAACAAGCAATTTATTAACATTGAAAGCGTACTTGGTTATGGCAGTAAGCTACAAGCCGGAAGGTCGCGGGTTTGATTGCCCACGTGGTTATTGAATTTTTCAGTTGATCCAATCATTTCAGACAGATAATTGCCCAGGGGTCGACTCAGCTTCTAACACTAATGAGTACCAGGAATCTTCCCGGGTGTAAAAGGCGGCCAGCTCCTAAGGCTGACAACCTCACTGTCATCTATGGGCCGATTATCTAGAAAATGTGGAAAGCTCGACGTCTCATAACCATATAAGCCTCCACGGTCTGTTACAGGGATAGTTTTATTATTTTACTGATATTAATAAGTGAAGTTAACTTACTGAAGGCTCACGACTTCAGCGGAAATTGTCACCGGAATCCAACATGTCTCTCCACCGTTCTTGGGATTTTATGCTAAGAATCCGGGCTCGCACGACTGCTTAGCCGTGTGCCACAGAATGATAACCATCTTTACATTTGAACACTGTCTTTACCTGTTCTTCTCATTTTCAATCCTCATTTCTTACTGCATAGAGGTAAATGCATTACACGTAGCAAATTAATTTAGTGCATATTGTCAGTAGTTCTGGAACTATTCCAAGGAAGATAAATCAGGGATCCGTTTATCCAGGTCAGAGAACTGCCTGGCATGATACAACATAAAGAGTAATGCATAATTCCAGTCAATACAATTACGTACTAACATAATTATATACGAAATTAAATAGAAGGAAACATGGCCGCCAGTACTGATTATTCGCAGATACAAAATGTGGGGAGAGGCCATATGAAATCATTTATTTAAAAGTTTACGATATATCCATCTTCAGATCATATTCGGTGTGGAACCTGACATGTATAGTAGATGATCCCGAAACCACGTGCCATCTTGCCCTGACCCACTGTTCATGGAGCTCAACGCTGCGAAAGTAAAAGGAAGAAAGTGTGTGATGTTCAGTGAAAGTATGTACCCTTCGAAAGGAAAAGGAAAACCAAGAGAGGGGATAGTTATAAGCAACTCGCACTTTCAGCTTGTGAGAATGTCTGTCTATCTATCTATCTACGGCTCTACAGTCCTTTGTTGAACCTTCGCCGCCATTTCAGTTTCGTAATCGTATACACAGTCGATAGAACTCCGTAGAAGGAGTCGAAACCACGATCCCAGCATTCCAGCGAGGGAAGACAGTCCACACTTTAGACCGCGGGAGCACTGTGATTGGTCTTGTGGGAATGCATGCCTATATAACATAATGTTATCTAGATTTTTCGAAGAGACGTAGACTAACCAGCTGTCCAATCGTGTTTTGCTAGCCATCGGTTGCAGAATATTGCATACGCCGAATTCTTCTGAAAATACCTGAAAAACTGATATCTTCATTAAAACATTATTTCTTGAAAGCCAAGTACTTTGATTCTATGCACAGGCCTAAACGTTTATGGCATGATTTGGTAATTGTACGAATGAACACTATATATAGTAATACTGTGCATAATCTAATATTTGACATAATGAGACTTTCGACAGTTGATTGTATTCCCATATTTAGGTAATGTGTTCAAACTTTATGTTTATAAATTAATATTCTAAAGGTACCGAGTTCGAAACCAAACATCCATGTTACTGCTTTTCAAAAGGAAAGAAAACGTAATATTATTTCTCAATAAAATGACAATCGATCGGCATGTACTGTCTTCGCTCGCTTGGAAACCAGGATCGTGGGTTCGAATCCCACTCAGGGCATGGATGTTTACTTTATGTGTGTGCGTTTTCCTGTGTTTGTGTACAGGTAGAGGCCTTGCGACGAGCTGATCACCCGCCCAAGGAGTCCTACCGAATGCGTAAGATGTAGAAAAACCGAAGTGAACGGAGAAGTTCATGGAGGTAGGCCTAGGCCCACTGGGGCTGTAGTGCCAAGGAAAAATAATAATGACAACCGATCACTTAAAGACGCGAGAAGAAAACACTCAAGTAATTTCAGATGTGTGGGCTGTAACTCAGACATCATACATCGAAGGTGATTGGTCCAGAGCAGTACTGGTATCCAGCCAAGTCTCTCTTATGCAAGAAATTACTGCAGAATTTGAATTTCTTTGGAATACAATTATAAAAACTACCCCTCATTCCAGTCTACTTCGATCTATTCAGACCTCAAACTGAGCACAGTGTCCCATTAAATTCAGCTTTAATTTGAAAACAGATCTCAAGAGACCTACTCCAAGGCTCGTGTTTTCGCAATTTGACACTATATCTATAGTGACTAGCATCGAAGCACGGATGACATACGCACCCAGTTATGTCTTATCTCGCAAAGGAAGGTTCCATTTTTAACCTAGATTATTGAAAATACTCTACGGTCAAATCCCATTAACTAAAGGACCGTATACGTAGAGCAGAAAGAGCTAATACGAGTGTATTTCTCTAATACTCTTTGTTTATATTTCAAATAAAATGACATTACATGTTTTGTCGAAAGTTAATGCAGTTATTTTTATGGTTGGGTTTAATTTCGTGTTTCGGACCGAAACGCTTGGGCAACTTCTTATTTTTATAACGTGTGACATAATTTGAAATTCATTGCGTCGGATTTATTGGACCTACTTTTTCTTCAGAGACTTTCGTGGATATCGGACTATACAAATGTAGTTGGAGTAATGCATACAGAGAAGCTTTCCATTGTTCCTTATTTTATGATATATTTTATTTTAGAATAAAGTTGACATATGTTGTTTCCCTCTCTGAATGGGAGGTTGTGGATTATGGTAAGCAAATGCGAGTATTCTCTCAGTACATAAAACCAGACGAATCATTTGAATAAAGTAGATTTCATTCTTATTTCTTTAAGTGCATGTAGAGAGGAAGACTGAAAAATCATCTGAGAGTATCTGTCATTTTATCGTCATAAATACATACAACATTTACGGATTGCATCCTGTTGTGTATATAATATTGACCTCGTGTCATAACCGCCGACACAACAAATATAGCGGGGATATCTTCAATGAAGACAACAGATGTTGGTATATCTTACTTATTTAATGTAGGCTTACATGAGCTTAATATAAACTTATATTAAATAAGTATGGTCCCGCCATAGCTCAAGCGGATAGTCGCTGGCTTCTCACCGCGGCGGCCCGGGTTCAAACCCGGGTCTGGTGAAGTGGGATTTATGGTGGAAAAAGTGGCGCTGAAGTAGGTTTTCTCCTGGTACTTCAGTTTCCCCTGCCAATCTTCATTCCGCCAAATTCTCCATCATCATAATCGCCCGGGGCAGGTACAATAGGGCAGTCAGTGGCCGCCGTGCCGAGTGGACCCAACTGGACTCCGTCCCCCACTACGCGAATTAAAAANCAGATGCGCACCTCTACGATAAGGAAACACTGTCACATAAGATATTTTAACAATATGCACAAATATCTTATGTGACAGTGTTTCCTTATCGTAGTGGTGCGCATCTGAAGATCATTCTTTTGAATCGAAATATGTAAGGNCAGCAAATGTGT